GCTTGAAGTCTGTTATATGTGGGACAACAAAATAGAAATCATTACTAAACTGTTCGGTTTGTTTTCAGTCTTCGGTTTCCCGGGAACTATTGCGTCCGACGTGATACTCAGTTAACATTCCATCAGTTTGGAGAATTCATTCGATGATTCAGCGTTACGCATATTAATTCCCCACCATTCTATCTTCAATCCAACAATCAAGATGAGAGGTTCGTAGATATACTCAAACGGGCATTGACAAAGGCAAAAGGACCACGGTAGAAATTCCTGCTGAGTTTATTAGTGCTGTAGTTGTGGAGTAACTAAATTGAGTATCAGAAGGTGACAAGCACTCATAAATGCCTGTTTTACCGGAATGATAATTACAATAGATAGGTGCATTTTGATAAATATGAATACAATGCGAAAAGTGGGGTAAACCAAATAGTGGCTTATCGTTTGAGGACAGCTGGTGAGAGTTCCCGAGTAATATCCAGGACGCGAGACTTGTTTTCTCTGCAGTATAGCTGCTACGGGTGTTCCGTAGTTGTCTTTTGAGACTTGTGGAACGCGGATGACTTCCTATCCTGTGTGTGTTGTGAGCCGAATTGCATGCCTATTTAATGTGTGCAATGTGAAGAGAGAGGGTGTCCATGGATTGCGCACCGTGATTTGTGCGCTGCTAGCCACCGAGTTGGGTGTTGTTGTCTGAACTCTGTTTGGTTTTCTTATATGTAGCTACGTTTGCGTTGAGTGTGTGTGTGTGTGTGCACATTGCTTGTTTCGACTCGTACCAGACGATATAGACAGGCAAAGTTCAATTGAGCCACGATTGTGTGGCGTGATTTGTGCGTGTAGGACAGAAACGAGCCTCAAATCTAGTGAGTGTCTGTTTGAACTGTCTCGTCGAGTATGTGGGTGGAGGGATACCTATAAATGACAGAGCAACACCCTATCTGCTGACGGTCGGTTTCCATCAGAGGTTATGATCAACGGATTGTTGTAATTTACTCAAGACACTATCTTGCCAGCCTTCACATGTTTTCATTCACCAACAGGAGGGAGCCTAAAGCCCCCGTCTGGAAACCGTGGGCTTGGTGAGACTATCGCCCTGGGCATCGAAAGTGGACCATTGGGATCGTCTTGAAAAGGACCGTTCAGGTGACCTATAGCATCTGAGTGGAATCATCGATGTTGAAACAGCATATTAATCAGCTATGGTCGTCGTCATCATCCTTCACAACATTATATCAGTGTTTAACACTGATGCTCCGTTGCCGTACAGCTATGGTTTATTTGAAAGCCTTATTGTGAAGAAAAAAGTAAAAATGGACGGTGAAGGGGTTTAATAATAGGCTACTCCAATCATTCTGAGGTGCATGCACCTACAGACACTCATTCAGACACTCCGGATAGAAACTGACAACAAGAATATCATTGACACTGACTGGCAGTCATAACTTGCAAGGTCTCCAACCAGGCGCAGTCGGGATCACATGCTTCCCATCCTTGAAGGTGAGTCGCGCCGACAGCATTTAGACTCTTCGTAGTCTCTTCCATACCCCTCTGCCAGGTCAAAGGTGGGCCACCTCTATGCTTCTACCACTCTGGATTGGGCATGGGAAACAGCACCCTCTTCGGCAAACAGGAGTTCAGCATGCCCAATACATATCCTAGCCAACATAGCTGCTGGTGCTGTACACATTCTTTGATGGTAGTCCCACTGCACTACCGAAAACCCGCTTTCTAATCGCCTCGTTATGGGTTCACCGACACCAACCCACACGAGCTATGGTCCTGAGAAAACGGCTATGGAACACCTGAAGATGTCTCACTTCCGCTGCTCGAACAAGACAAGTCTCACAGCTATACGAAAAAAAATCACACTATAGCCTGGTAAACACATCCGTTGAGATTCAGAGGTATACCGCTTTGACACCATGTCTCTAAACTTAGGAAACCCGACCCGATCCTTGCAGGTTCGTTCATTGACCTCATTTGTCACACTACAGTCGGAGCAAATGCCACTTCCAAAATAAGTAAAAAGCTCCACAACGTCAAGTGACTGCCTGTATTGTAAATTGCGTGTTCGGTGACTGCATATCCAGGAGCATGACCTTACATTTTATGGGTGGAATGAACATGTCAAAGGACGGAATGACTTTGGTCAGTTCGTCCAAAACCCCTGCGCCTTCTCTTCGGAGATGAGAACGATATCGTCTGCATATTCCAGCTTGATAGGGTTTTCGTCAGCGGCTTTTTGAACACCAGAATTTTGAGGATCTTCTGTCGTTCGCCTCATTGTCTCATCAACCATTCAAGAATTCATAAAACGTGCTTTTGATGGTGTCATCTACAGTCGGTTGGAGCGTAAGCAGATAGAACAATTAGCCAGCGACCAAATTCCCTCCTGTGAAACTCTTTTGCAGACGTTGCCAGACTAACCGCACGGAAGCAACAGTCAACAGGTATGCAGTCAAGCAAGGGTACTTCCGACCGGTGACTTACGGCCATACAAACCCTTGTGTATCCTGTCGTAGCGGGGGGGGGGCGAGATGGCCCAAGTGGTTAGAGCGCGAATTTACTGACCGGAAGGTTCGTGGTTCGAACCCGACCTCTGCCACTCGACTTCCCCTGTCTAGGCTTGGGCGACCTGGCAGTATCCCAGCCCTCGTGCAACCTTCGGGTGGCGTGGCAGTTGGGCACCGAAATGGTGCTACAGCTGAAGGAACGATTCTGTCGTGGCAGTCTTTGGATCTCCAGATGTGCGTAGCCGGAATCGAGTCTGGAGTGGTGAGGATGTCAGATCAAACACCGTACTTGCATCTTGAGTTCTTTCTTGTGGTGCATAGCACACAATAATGTCAAGCGTATCCAGCGTGAGAGCAAGAGCAGCTTGTTGTCCGGCTTGCTTCAGTGTGCGAACATTAAAAGCAGCCAGATAGGCGGCATCGAGACTTGAAAATTGATTTCGAGTTGTCGGTGGATGTCAGCACCAAATGATGCGCAGATGTTGCTTGTGAAACTAATGCAGGGCGGACTCATCAGTCTTAACTGTCGGGCCTACAAAGAGAGTTGTTACTGAGGTGGAGAAGGGAGGAAAAAAACGTACGTGAGAGAGAAAGAAGGGAGGCGTCGGGAGTTACTTTTTTTCACCCATCTACCCTGCTGTGCGCAGGGTAACCTAACTAATGGCACCACGGGACGGCCGATGTGACGGTCGTGGTTCTCACTCAGCTGTGATCTTTCGGTTGCTCTCGTTTAGGCCTGGACAACTTGGCAGTAGCTCAGCCTTCGTGCCTCTTTCGATTCGCACGGCACCCGTGCACTGGAAGGGTGCTACAGATGGATTGTCATTATATACCATTATTTGTCATCTCCAAGTTGATATCTATGTTGAATCTTCTTCCCTTTGATCATGACGAAGCCCACTTGTCGGTTTGACGTTGATAGCAGCCGTAAAAATATTTTTCAACACCATTTGTTTTGACAGTTGCCGAACGTTGAGCAAGCTGAGTGCCTATGTAAGGCCTGGTTTGAAATTCAAAGCGTTGGGTTTGGCACTATGCATCACAGAACACATCCGCAACGCAGTTCAAATTGACATTCACAGTGACCCGTGTTCTGTACTGCGGCGAGGTTTTTCCACCAGGTCGACAACACGATCCAGCAGGATTTTTAAAGTTATTCGCACTTTCAAAACTGATTAGGCAAATGAAGACCGATGCAATGGAGATGTCAGTATTAGGAAGCAGACCCTCCTCGATGCAAGTTCACGAAAACTGCTGGTCAACGGAACTATCACAAGGAAAAACAACTCCAAAATTTACTCCGGTTCGTACCGGGTGTTTGGGTAATCGGAGCTTTTCGGAAAAAGCTGCCCAGTTGGCCTTTTGTCCTCAGCTTTACCGATCGACACATCACCAAATTCACAGGCGGATTTGACCTGCTCTATCGCTACAAATGAATTAGGAGACGAAGTTAAGCTTTTGAAAGGAGCGAAAGTACTTGGTTTTGGCTGCCTTCTTATTGCCTTGTTCAAAGATAAAGGGGAGGAGCTCGTTTGCTGTAAGAGCACAACATTTGGCTATTGTGAAAATTGGAATGTGGTTATCATCACCGTGAATGTGTCAAGGCCCTTTACTGTCGTAAACCATAAATGAAAAAGGCGCTAGTAAAAAGTAAAAAGAAGGGGAAGGCGTGCAGACTTTTGAAAAACTACCTATATCCTGAAGAGGAACGGCCATTGAGTTCCGAGCATTCTAATAGAAAAAGATACCTCCAGTGGTACTGACCCAATGTCATTTGCAAACCTAAACGATTGCAGGCTCAGCGCAGCGTCAGCTAGGCAGTCTAGCTAAAAAGTTACAGCAAGGTTGCTCTATTCAGGGTGACGTGAAAATCTCATAGCGCTCAAATCAGCGGTCGTCATTATCACCAGAGAAAGTAGCATCAGTGTGGACACTGATGTGAGGCTTTTCTACTTCCAACATGGGTCGCGTTCCGTGCAATATAAAACGCTTCACATGCTCGTCCGGATAATCCTTGAGTGGATGTTGAAGAACACCCAGGTGGTTGCTCCAGGTTGTTGTTAAACAAACGAACAGCACTCATTGTTATCCATTAATACATCATACCTCTTGAGACCTTTCGTTGAATTCCAAGAATTTGAACACCGCTACTGGCAACGGTGACACAATCGATACTGGGGAAACATTTGTCCGCCAGAAAGTTGAAGCAATGTGTTAGAAACGCATGGCTTATGAGAACAATTTGAACACGTTACATTGGATTGGGCTATAAACAACTCCAAACGATCCGCATTCTTTTAAGGATGATACTGAGACCCATAAAAATGAACCGTGTGGACAATTCAAGAGCAATAATGACTAGTATACTATCCTTGTCAGAAAACAGTAAATTCATGAGTTGTCACCCAGCTAGTGACTGCGAAAACGTGTGCTTATCTGTTTCACGGCTTGTTTTGCCTCACGCATAACGGTGTTATCCCTTTTCAGTATGTTATTTCCCACCAATCATTATGAGCGTCCTACTTCGTGCTTTCGTTGTTGGCTATACCGGCGAAACAGGCAAAGCTCTTGTCAAGGCGTTAGCCAAAGATTCGCGATATGACGCAGTTACGCTAATCGGACGGCGACAGGTTGACAAAATAGACTATGGAGTCGAATCGGACGTGGCAGAGAAGAAATTCTCTCAACATGTGCTCGATTTTGACAAGCTGGACGACCATGCACTGCTGTTTTCTGACGCCGATGTGGGGTTTGTTGCTCTCGGAACCACGTTGCAGAAGTCTGGCAGGGAGCAAATGCGCATTGTAGACCACGATTATGTAATCAAAATAGCAGAGCTGAGTTTGGCATCTGGCTGCAAGGAGCTTCACGTTGTCAGCTCACAGGTACGTCCTTCACATCTATTGCTTGTAAAGTGCCGTGCAGGAATGTGTTGCTTTACTTCAAAATTGTACAATCTTCCCGGAGCTTATTTTTAGGTCCTAGACCTGTCCGCGTGAGATTTTATTGGAGTCCCCTCAACAGCGGTATTCTTTAAAATTAGGTTGTGAAACAAAATCACTTCACAAAACGACCAAGCCTCCATTTGGACAAATCTTTTGGTAGCTCCGGAACACGAATGATTGAGGACTTGAATCCAGTTGCATTAGAAAACCAATAGAAAGATAAATTTAAGCATTCCGTTTGCGGAACGTCACTGAGACATTCAGAGAACTCATAAGGGATCATAGTGTGCGCCCGACGAGTTGCAGACTACATCAGGATCGCTTTTTAATCCAGTCAATAACCGTTTTTGAGCTTCGTTCAACACGCACAGTTACCACAGGTTCTGGACTTCCACCATGATTTAAGACCCAGTGATGAGTTACGCTTTAGAATTCTGCAAGATAACGGTCCACCGAAAGTCCTTGTAGCATGAATGTTTATTGTCTTAATGAGTAGAGGAATTATCTGTGCCTGAAGGGGCACTGCAAAAAGCAGCAACCGTGTCGCAATCGGATTCGTTCGATCGAGAGTTATGGTGGAACTTTTCCTGATAGATATCTCCGGATTGAGATTCAGCATAGTCTCCTTTCAAAACAAAATTAGCGCACAGATGAGTGTATCTCGCCAGTTTTGTACAGTTTGGTTTCAAGTGGAACATAAAGTTGACGGAATCTTGGGAACCGCGCTTATCTGATAAGCTCGAAAAAGGGCGGAATGATCGTGATTGTCGAAGAATTTTCAGCAACCTCATAAGTAGTGTTCTCCGCCAAAAAAACAACAGAACCGTTGTTTTTCTCCGGATGTTCACTTTACAGACTGTGCTGCACAAGGATAGAGAAATGATCTCCAGGAACATTTGGGACATACTGACGTCGTCTACAAGCAGCAGAGTATTGAAATACATCACATGTTTCTTACACTAAGTTTCACCTTACTTAGATTGCACTTTGCATTCTCTCAGCAAAAGATTCCTTTCTACACCAGACCAGATGTAATTACAAATTCAATGAGTAGCTGTTGTTGAAAACTTGAACGTCAGCGGAGGAAATCGAGAAGAGCCGGTGGCCTCAATGACGTTTCGCGTAGTGCGTGCGCTCGGGGCAACATTGGTCGGAATCTGGACCCAGTGCAAGAAATATATATTCAAATGACTCCTGAACATGTTGCTTGCCTAACGAAGTGTCTGGGTATTCATATTAGTCGAGCTTTATCTCTTATTATCTTCGAGAACGTGGGAGAAATTTTTGTATTCTGACAACAAATCAATTCTCACGAAACCATGAATACTTCCACGCCGTTCAAAGTTCAGTATGCATTTTTGCGTCCTTCGTATGTCAAGTCGAGATAACAAAGGACTACCTCACAAGGTTGTAGCACCTTTGAATTATCGAAAAAATATCGGATGAACGTGCATTCATTTCTGAGGGATCCGATGAGTATTGGGGTCCACACGATGAATAGAAAACTCTGACCTTCATCTAACTGACCGAGACGGCACGTCGTTTCATCCTTCTTGACATATGGGTTCAGCTAAGGTCCATTGAGAACAAAAACGCCATTCAGCAGTATCCGGTCCACAGTTCGTCGATTGAGTCACACAGCTGTATTCATTGAACGTTTCACTCGTCACATCGTCATCCATTACATTTTCGGCCCTATTGGTTCACCAATTGTTTTCTACAAACAACACCATAGCATGCAGGGAGCAGACTGTACTGCATCTACTCACTTAGTATTCACACATGGTGTACATCCCATAACCCTGCTCCGCACGATCACATATTTCCTAGCGGACCATTGACCGTTTCCGAGTATAGCGTTCTCAGCATCCCCACTGGTTATAGTCAACTACGGTTGAATCAAAATTTTGTGGAGACTTTGGAAACAATTGTTTATGGACTAGATACGTTATTCATTTGCAAGCGACGCTGAAGATTCTACAGGATCACCTATAGTTTGTTGCAGAAACTGACTGCTGGCGGTGCGATGTGTTTTTCAGTTGGAAGTCCGTGTGGCTTCCCCCTTTAGTTTACTAAATGTTTCGCAAAATCTGAACGATGTTGGGGACGTTCTCGATGTCTGTTCAGGGCTGTGGTCGCTCAGTTATTTATTATAGACTAGCAATTGCTCCCTTGCCATCTTTATTCTCTATTCTGAAATGGCTTCCTACCCCGATAAGTCCACATGGCTGTATGATAATCGAGCTTCAGTGTTCTTACACCATTTCTGATTCATCAGTGATTATGTATGATGACAACATTGTTTGTAGCCAATGCTCTACATATTTCGATGTGGACATCAGTGAAGATTATAACGATTAACAGAGACGGCAACACCCGTTCGGGAGGATCCATGGAAAAATAGTTCTTGGTAGCGATATTTTGAAGCTGATGTTGAAGTTGGCGTGTTGATAGATTCCTCAGCATAGACCTCAGGAATGATCTCTCACATTTATCTCGCCATTGTGGATAGGATGCTTCACGATACGCGCCGTGTGTGGGCGAAAAATTATTCATCCACCTCCCCCAGCTAGGTAAAGATGCGCCTAGTTCAAGGACACCGTATCGGGCGAGATGGCTCAGTGGTTAAAGCTCGAATTTACTGATCAGAAGGCCCTGGTTCGAACCCAACCTTTGCAGCTCGACTTCTCCTGTCTAGGCTTGGGCAACGCAAGGTGTTGTTTGTAGCCAATGCTCTACATATTTCGATGTGGACATCAGTGAAGATTATAACGATTAACAGAGACGGCAACACCCGTTCGGGAGGATCCATGGAAAAATAGTTCTTGGTAGCGATATTTTGAAGCTGATGTTGAAGTTGGCGTGTTGATAGATTCCTCAGCATAAACCTCAGGAATGATCTCTCACATTTATCTCGCCATTGTGGATAGGATGCTTCACGATACGCGCCGTGTGTGGGCGAAAAATTATTCATCCACCTCCCCCAGCTAGGTAAAGATGCGCCTAGTTCAAGGACACCGTATCGGGCGAGATGGCTCAGTGGTTAAAGCTCGAATTTACTGATCAGAAGGCCCTGGTTCGAACCCAACCTTTGCAGCTCGACTTCTCCTGTCTAGGCTTGGGCAGCGCAAGGTGACGGAAACTCGGTAACTGCGCCTACCCGACGAGCCTCAAGAAGGGCGAAACCGGTCGTGGGCTGTCGAGGAGTTTTCAGCAACCTTGTGAGTAGTTTCCTTCATGAAAATAAATGGGTATGCTTTTGTATAGAAGATGATACACATTACTGGCGAACGAGCGTTCGGTACTATGCGCATTCATATAGCTTGTAATAATGGATTCTGGAAAATGTGTCCGTCATCTGAAGAGTCCTTATTGTCCTCTATTACCATTAGACCAGTTAGCCAATAGAAATGTTAGGTTGACGAAGGTAATTTTGCATTATCGTTTCTCTTCTGTTAGAATTCGTGAGCAGGGTATACTCTTAACCTCTGCCGGGTTTCGAACTCCCAGTGTGCTATCACTACTCTACTGACGTGCGTCTGATGTGTCTGAATCATAACCTCAGAACTGACTGCTATATTTGTAATTTGAGCTAACGGCTAACGGGGCGAGATGGCCCAAGTCCGTGTTTCGAACCTGACCTGTGCCTCTCGGCTTCCCCTGTCTAGGCTTGGGCAACCTGGCAGTATCCCAGGTCTCGTGCTTCCTTCTTGTGGCATGGCAGCTAAGCACCGTAAAGGTGTTACAGTTGAACGAGTGAACAGCGACCCAGTGATTGTTCTGGTTGTGCTGGTCGCTGAGTCGTCCGTTTGAATCCAGTTTTTTTTCATTCAACTCTAGATCGACGGTGATAGTAATTCATCATTGCTCATTGCCTTAACATTATGTGTCTGTCAATGCGCATGCAGTAAGTTTTTCACGTGGAATGGGTAAACTGCTCATATAAAGGACTTTGTTGCAAAGCCCCATTAATGTCATCTGTATTCAACCCTGATAGTCTGGTGCAATGGGGTGCAGTCTATGCAACTCATTGGACTGATATGCACAGCTAACTACCCACTCGAAGTTCAGCCAACTCTGGATTTGGTCGTTGACTGAACCTAGGTGATCGAACAGCGGAGAATAGTTTCAATTGTGATCAGACCAAAGGGCACGGTAGTTGAGTTTGGCTTTTTTAGTCCGTCATCTCTGATGAAACCTGCGGCATTTCGACCCCATAATTTCCATATTGTTGGTGCGTCCATATACATCCAATGTGTGCTTCTGGATTAGCGGCAACCTGCCTTTTTGATGTCACATGACCAAAGTTCAAAGCCTCATGTGACCGAAGGTCGATGCTTCTGTTGCATTCTGGTCGGAGTAGAACTGAGATTTTCCCCATTGATATGGACAAGTGGAAACAGTTACATCGGGACAGGTGTGAATTTGTTCAAACCAGGATGTTATGTATACATTTGATGCTGTGATATTTCCTCTGTTTTTCGCTTACGACCTGCAGCACTAGATTATGAAGTGGATTGCACTTGGCTTACCAATAACTTTTTTCCTAAATAGGTTGGGGCATTGTGGTGGTAACGTTGGCCTCCGGCTTCTTTCTACTCCCCTTCTACACACAGGGTTCGAATCCAAAGAGCACACTTTTCTATTTGCGTCTGAAAGGAGAAACAGAAGAGGACCTGAAAGCTGTTGGCGTGTTTCCAAACTACCTTGCCATCTATCGTCCGGGCGTGTTGCTTTGTAATCGCACGGAATTTCGCCTTGGCGAACGGCTGTACAAAATTCTAATGAAACCAGTACACACTCTCTATCCTCGTTGGCTCTCTGTTCCGGTAACCACACTCGCTCAGGCCATGGTCAACGCACCTTTTTGTCTGGCTTCGATTATGCGTAAGAAAGCACGTGATGCTGGTGATGCGTATGACCCGAAGGTGCTGATCGTCAATAATGATCAGTTGTTTGATTTGGCTGCTGAATCAGATGACAATTTCTCTTAGGGGCTGTGATATTTAACTCACATTTTCCCGTTTTAAATGGAGAACATTGTATATTTCGTCCCGGTATTTCTCCCTCACTTATTTTCTACATTATCAAATAGTCTTGACTGTGTCCACTTCACTTGTTTTTATGATTTTCTTCTTTTGTCTGGCATCTATCCACTCGAATTCCTACACTCTCGATGCGGTGTAGCTGGATGGGGATTACATACATACTGGAAATCATCATCATCAACATCCTGACAACAGTGTTCAACACCGATGCTTCACTGCCGTACAACCATGATTTATTTGGAAGCCTTATTGTAAAGAAAAGAGTAAAGGTGGGCCACTGACATCAGTTGGCAGCCATATCTTGTAGCGTCTCCAACCAGGCACAGGAAAAATGAACATAAGACAACCGATAACGTCCGTCAAAGCTGCAATTGTTGGTTGGTGCGCTTAACGCTGTTCCATAGATAAGTAACTATTAAAATTGAGTGACCTCAGCCCTTACGATGGGGATTGCTGTGCAAGTCAGTCTTGCGCATTCTCATCATGCGTTTCTACACTTGGAGGATCGAGAACTGACGGAAAGGCGACTCTACAGCAACGCAGTAACGAACATCTGCGACATAGACCGACAACCACGATCAGATCGATTGTTTCCGTGGTCAAGATAACACTCACCCATCGGTCGTATTTGGTACTCTTGTGTTTAGGTCAAAGGTCTATCACCTAAATGGCAAGTCATCGAAACAAATAGTAATTTGTCTCGGTTGACTTTATTGAATGTTGATCAGATGGCAGTTGACTTGTTCGCTAAGCTTGGCGCACAGACCCAATACCAGCACAGCAGGTGATAGTACGCGAGGCTGTGAGGAAGGCATTGAACATTCGTTTTTTCCTTAAATGGACTCAATTTTAGTGTATATAGTAGAGCGAACCACTCATTGCAATGAGCGACTTTTCTATTTTCCAAGCTGATTACGTTACAGATCTTATGGGAGTCCAGAGGACTTCCTATGGAGCTGCCCACCGGAAAGCAAGTAGAGTCATGGATCTTTGATTTATCATGCTGGAAGTAGGTCGAAACGAACAGATTTCATCGCAGCATAGCAGTTTTAGAACCCTTGTAACTTAATGATAGGAGCCTAACTTGTTAGTCGAGAGTGAAACGGTTCCAAAGATAAATAACTTTTTTCCTAAATAGGTTGGGGCATTGTGGTGGTAACGTTGGCCTCCGGCTTCCTTCTACTCCCCTTCTACACACAGGGTTCGAATCCAAAGAGCACACTTTTCTATTTGCGTCTGAAAGGAGAAACAGAAGAGGACCTGAAGGCTGTTGGCGTGTTTCCAAACTACCTTGCCATCTATCGTCCGGGCGTGTTGCTTTGTAATCGCACGGAATTTCGCCTTGGCGAACGGCTGTACAAAATTCTAATGAAACCAGTACACACTCTCTATCCTCGTTGGCTCTCTGTTCCGGTAACCACACTCGCTCAGGCCATGGTCAACGCACCTTTTTGTCTGGCTTCGATTATGCGTAAGAAAGCACGTGATGCTGGTGATGCGTATGACCCGAAGGTGCTGATCGTCAATAATGATCAGTTGTTTGATTTGGCTGCTGAATCAGATGACAATTTCTCTTAGAGGCTGTGATATTTCACTCACATTTTCCCATTTTAAGTGGAGAACATTGTATATTTCGTCCCGGTATTTCTCCCTCACTTATTTTCTACATTATCAAATAGTCTTGACTGTGTCCACTTCACTTGTTTTTATGATTTTCTTCTTTTGTCTGGCATCTATCCACTCGAATTCCTACACTCTCGATGCGGTGTAGCTGGATGGGGAGTACAACACGAGGAGACTGAACCTTACCGTGGTGTGGCGGTTTGTGTACCTCGGAGACCCACTGAGATATACTGGGGGGTGTCCGCGCGGTCTCTCATACCAGGTTGGTCAATGGTCTGACGAACACAGCCTCCTGGCCCTCCAGTTTGGAGGTTGGAACATGTGGCCACTTTTTCCGTAGAAATGGTCATGCGTTTGCATTTTCCCGCCAAACACCATTGCCTTGCGGTTAGGCTTTTGAGTCAAAGGCTTTGGTTGAGGACCCTAATCGTTCTCCTGTCTAGGTGTGGGCGCCCTGGCAGTATCCCAGCCCTCGTACAACCATGACATACACAACTAACCATAGTCTCATGCCACGTCGGCCGTCGAGTGGTGCCATCAGCCGGGTCGCCTTACTTGCTGCGAGTAAGCAGGGCGGGTAACCGAAAAATACTCCTGCCTGACGCCCCCCTTCTTACACTTTCACGTTTTCCGTCTTCCACCCTCCCCTGCCCAAATTTGAATACTTTCTCCGCAGGTCCCAGCTCTAGGACTGACCGTTTTGCTCGCCCTGCATCACACTCATCTGCAGCTTCTGCACGTCCGAGTTCAGTTACAACCCTACACATTTCAAGGTCGGTTTTCAAACCAGAAAGCCTGTCTACTTAGCCACCTTCAGTGTTCGCACACTGAATCTCCAATCGGCCCATTTTGAGGTTCACTTGCTGCGAACGGATCCAGGGAGCGAAGGACAGTTCTATCGGTACTCTCGGCATGGCTGTCAAAACAGAGTAGATGACTTTTTAAGATATCGGATGGTGGTCTTCCTTCGAACGTCATCCATACGCTTAGCCGATCAGTGCAGGTAAAACCGAGTTATTATGGCATGTCTACCAAGGTTATACTATGCAATACTGCTAACTCAATTGGCTGTGATGTGGTTCCCATGGCATGACAAGTGGTTTTTTTTGGTGTCACACACAAATTGAGCCTGGAGAGGTTCGACTGGGAATCTGTGGTGTGGTAGTCGGGACTCGTGATGATTACATGCCATATAAATGGTTTCCGTGATTATGAGCCGATACGCTGGTCGACTGGTTGTCGTTGCACTGGGGGCCCAACAGTCTTGCAACAATTGATTCTACTGAATTGAACTTCAACTGGCGATCTATATCCGCTCGATCTATTGAAGACAGCAACTTAACCGCCTGCTGCGCACGTTTTGAACATTGCACTTCCTTCTCGCCTGGAAGGACCGTGGAACGTCCGTATGAAAAATAGGTGTGTACATATACTACTAAATGGATCACCAGTAGCGGGAAGACGAGGCAGTCATTCTACTTAGCAGGGCTCATTTCACATTTGAACTTGCAGTCTGATCGGGTCGTTCGCTCCGAGATAGAAACAGGCGGCCGTTCAACGCCAAAGCGGGAAAATTGGCTTTCGGTGATACCCTTCAACTGCACTTCGGGTTTTTTGACAAGGCTTTTAAAAGTAATGTGGTCAAACATGGGGCTTAGTTATGTGGACTGCAACCTTGTTCAGCTAGCTGCCTTCTGCGAATAATAGTCACCTGAATGCGACGCTTGCTCATCTGTGTGGCAGAAGAAGTCTGTATTTGGCCAGAATACGGTAACCAATGTGGTTCAAGACTATTCTGGTGTAACCGAGGCCACAAAGTGGGATTCAACTGAATCCTTATTAGTATCGGCTGAAATTCATATACACAGTGGCCTTTGATGATATCTTATGGGATTTATTTCCCTTGAACCGGGCTATTTTACCTCTCGCTTGCCGCGGAAATGTTCTCCTGGTTTCCCTTACCATAAGTCGTGGTGGGGACATCATGTTCCATCTAATTCTCGTTCGTATGCGCACCGTTGGTTTGGGTTAGATCTCCAAACAAGCAATGAGTGAAGTGTACGTTTGTGCTTCCTAAAATCTGTTCAGGTCAGAGCCCAGCTGGGTCGATATATGAATTCTCGAAGTGATTCCTCCCCAGCAGTAATATGACCAAGGATTTCTGCAGATGTTTTGGTCGTGCTTGAATACCACGCTGATCTTGTAGGTCATTTGGAAGTTCATCCCTCATAGTTTAGGGTTGCGGAAATAGCTACTGGTAGCCGCGAGCTTATGTTGTGCAAGTAGTTTCATTACGAAGCTTTCTGTATGTAAATGCCTACTTCCGCGGAGGCGCTAAGCTAATTCCCATGGATAACTAGCATTTCCTTATCTCTGGGAACAAAAATTTCGCTCTCCCCCGAGGAAGGCCGGACCGGAAGAGGTTACTGTTGAATGTCGCCCGCCCGATTCGTAAAAGTTGGCCGCCCCTGCAGCTACTCATTCAATATGCTTGATAAAACACTAACTCTAATGAGGTTCTTTTGAAGTTCCAAACTTATGGACTGTACACTTTCAGCTGATTAGGTTAACCTCCATCGGACCTGAGTCCCTTGTAGCGGTCACTCACTAGATCACGCATCACAAACCCTCAAATCACGTGACAATTCTTGTCTCACTCGCAACATCAGCCGACAAAGTGTACACTACAACCTTCCAACCATTCTTGTTTACGCGGCTACCACCTGCGTCACGCGCCAGGCTTACGAACTTCAACCACATCAGGTCAAGTATCGTTCATGTTCTTGCAATTATAAAACACGAATGGACACCCCTCTATTCACACTGCACACAATGAATAGGCATGCAACTCAGCCCAACACACACACACATATGGCAGGAAGTCAACCGAGCTCCACAAAACTCCAAGGTCAACTACGGAACACGTGTGCCAGCTATACTGCAGCGAAGACGCATCCCACATCAGGAAATTCACTCAAGAACTCTCAACAACTGTCATCAAACGACAAGTCACTTTTTGGCTTATTCCCTTCGTGCAGTGTGTTTATTTTTATCAAGTTCACATAAAATGTACTGTGATTTGCCAATTTAGATTTTTTTCATTTTATGGTCTATAAATATGTTCTAAAACGCTGCCGGGTTGCTGGCTCAGATGGACTTCCACCAGCAATAATCAGAGACGTCGGTGTGTTGTGACTTGACGAGTTTGTTTGAAAATATATAGAGACGAGAATGGAGGACTCTTATTAATCATTCATCGCAGCTTTATTAATTAAATGCGTCCGAAGCGACTGTATAAGCCTCACACCTGTCATAACTCGGCTATCAATTGTGACGCCCAACACTGGCATATGAGACGCAGATTCGTGGGCATCATACTGGGACACATCGCGCACACTACGCCAGATACCTGGATTGTGCCAAATTCAGCTGAAAGTATCGGTGTAACTTCACTTCAGTCGGGCGTGTGACGCTTTTAAACAGAATTGAACAAGTAAGAAGGCCACTACTCACAAGGTTGCTGAAAACCCTTCGGCAGCCCTCCTTGGGGCTCATCAGGTGGGCGCAGTCCCCGAGTTTCCATCAACCTTATGTTCTACTTGAACCAAAATTGGACTGTTTTCGAGAAATACACTCATTTGCAAATCAATTTGGTTCTTCGGAGAATGTCATAAACGAGATTTCAGTTAAGTCTCTCGTGAAAACCAGATTAACTTGCAAATGAGTGTATTTCTCGAAAATTCAGAAGGCCCTTTGATTTTGCCAGTATAGTTTTCGTCCATCAGCCTTACTCTTCTGGTGGGACTAGGGGTTACAAGAAGCTATCCAAACATTCTCCCCATAATCAGTTCGGTTTGCCGAGGTCGTTCTTTTTTCATTATTTGGACACGGACGAGGCCCGCATATCTGGCTGGATCCAATAAGAGCAAACGTCGGGTTCAGTGCATTTAGCCTTGGCATGAAATAATCTCAGTGATCAAGTAAGTAATCACAGCAGCGGAAGTTGTTCAAACTAGTGATAGATGGATTAATATCCTACTTGGGTGTGAGACAACACAGTGGTTAGAGCGCGAATTTATTGACCGGGAGGTCCGTGGTTCGAGTCAGACCTCTGCCTCCTGACTTCCCCTGTTTAGGATTCGGCAACCTGACAGTATCGAAGCCCTCACGCTTCGTTCTGCTGGCATGGCAATTAGGCACCGAAAGGACGCTACAGATGAACGAATATTCGACAAATTCCGGAAGTACCCGAACCTATAATTACCGAGGCCAAACATCTATCATCAGGAATGTAATAGGAAAGTCTCAACATGACAGCAGCGGTGGCAGTAGTTAGGTCCCTCCGTACATGGTGTAAATTGCGAAAGGTCAGCTTCCCATACTCCGGTCCCTTTTGTTCCCACTAAAAAAAGTACAAATTGACTCCTCATAATTCCTCTCATATTTTAAAACTGAGCACACATCAGTGTGTACACTGATGATTTATAGCTGAGTGGCGACTAAACTCGGCGAACAGATCAACAGCCACCTGATCGACTAGGTTTGAGTTTTTATATCTTCATACATTAATCTGGATATGAGATTGCTATATCACAATCAGTCACCTCACTACTGTCTGGGAATGCCTTCATACTGGTTGTGGTGTACGTTAGCCGCGGTGTGCTCACGCATCCGCACAAAACGTGAGGAAGAGAATCCTCGAGCTGTTGCTTAATAGGACAGTCTACAGTCTGAGGATGCTTAATGATTATTGCAAGCTCATCAGGATTTCGGTTGATGACGTCATTTCCTCTGCATTCTGATAAGAGCGTCAGAAAGTCGTAGTTGGAGAAAAGTTTAAACGAGATTATCAGGAGTACTCGCGAAACCACAAAAAAATGAGCACAAACGCTGGTTGTCATTACATTTCAAGCGCGGCACGTTGTTCAAGACGTTCCTGTGACCTCCTATTATTTTCTTGGGGTCAAAACCGGTCGACATTTTTACAAGGTCTTGCTTAGCATTGGAGGCCGATTAGTTCGTCAACCCCTGATCATGTACTATCGTTTTAATCCGCTCTGGTTGACGCTAACAAGCGCACGGACACTGGATTGATATTTATTCGACGAATATGGCTGTCCTCACTTCCTCTCACCTCAAGACACTGTTACTGACAAGTGTCAGCGCAGAGTGAAGGTGGTATTTACGCGGAAAGTTCTTCGTCTTGGGTATTATGTTTCATTATTGACTTATCGTAAAAGAGGTAAGAGAGGGGATACTTTCTCCGGCAACATCCGGATTTTATAGTAAAAAAAATCGTTCAGATGTAGCCCTTTTTCGGTACCTAACTCCCATACCAACAGAAGGATGCACGAGGGCTGGGATAGTGCCAGATTACCAAACCTAGACAGGGGAAGTCGAGAGACAGAGGTCGGGTTCGAACCACAGACCTTCTGGTCAGTAAAGTCACGCTCTAACCACTTAGGCCATAATAGTGCAAACTCTATTTGCGCCCGTGCTCAAAATCCGAAAAATCCCAACCCTATTCATCTGCTAAACCCCGGCGTAAGCGGAAGCCCTCGGTTAGTGTGAACTGTTTTTAAAGCTGAGTCTATGTGGTTTCCGCGTTATCTGTGGAAATTCAACACAGTACTGTGTGTCCTTAGCAAATGGGGTGTTCGAATTAATAAAGGATTCCAAGCAACCATAGTACTTTCAAGCCATCCACTGTGAATGGTATTCGATGTAGATGTCGGGGTGAACGCGCGTTGCAAATCCATTCACACGAAGAAAAGAGACTCGTGAAATGTGACGATTTTAAGTGCTGCTAATAATCTGAAAGCTTCTGCTAGTTCCAGGGATTTGAGTAATGACAGACCGGATCATGAGTTGGTGTTCGCGAGCTGAAAGGCAGGTCATAACCAACCGAACAAAAGAGTCTCTTTAGGACACAAATGTCCCGATTATAGGAAACAGTGAAACTGGGTCGCATTGTCACACTGGTCGAAACAGCAAGCTGTATTTAGTCGACAGCTTGCTACGAGCTCCCTTGAAGGTGTGTAACAAAGTAAAAACAAGTACGTTTGAATAGAACATCATATTGCATTACATACAATACTGAACACAACAGAAAAGGAGAGACGGTCATCGAACAGAATACCAGAAAGTGTTTAACCATAAGTATTCACTGAAAAAATATTAGATCAGTGCGGCTGATGGAGATGGTCTTCCACGGATGTTCACATGAGCCCTATTTTGTGTGTGTGTGTGTGTGGTTGTGTGGCATAATCGTATAAATAAAACAAAACAACAGTATTACTAATATCAATAAGCCAACCAGGGTATGTATACCTATTCTGACTTGGTTCAACCTGGAATGTAGTTTCGGGGAAGCTGACAGGATGGAGATTGTTTTGTGTAGGATGGGTCACAGCGGGATAGGAACAAACGAAATTTGAAAAGTCGCTAAGGAAGCAGATTTGATCGCCAGTTGCATAATTTCCACAGGCGGAACAAAGCGAACTTAAAGCAGAACCAGCTGACATTGTTTTATCCCCTTTAAAAACATCCGGCTGGTTTGTTTTGTTTTTGAAAATGACGGCAGCCTGGATTGTATTGTTTTGTATTGTATTGTATTTATTGGTGGGAAAGTTACAGTGGGTTTTGTAAGAAAGCACATTACAACCCCCCCCTTATTGGCTTGGTTGTAATAATCCAATCGTATATCGAATCCGCGCTGATATGCCAATGAACAGTGCCCTTGTTTGGGTAAGCTTTGTGTTGGAGAACAGAAAAGTGCATTTGGAAAATAAACAATAACGTAAGAATTAATCGTTTGTTTCGACAAAAGACCGTACGAGTGAAATCATTTGTTCACATGATCCATTTGATCCTGGCAGTGTTGGAAACATTGGTGATGAATATCAGGAAACGGTAGGTTAGTGGGGTTGGGAACCACAACCCGATTGAATGTACACTATTCTTTAGATTCTAGATGAAGAAAGAATGCTATTCCAAAGGTGATGCCAGAAGTCAGTTTTTGCCTAGAAAAGGAAGTTTTTTTCTGTATAGATGTGGGCAAGATGAATACTGCTCCCAGCCGTGTAAAACAAATATTACTAGGAAATAGCAAGGGTCAACCGGTGTTACTCTACTTGGTTGTCAGGACTGAGTAATTTGACGTGCCGGGCTGCCAGTAGACACGAAGTGGATACAAACGTTTTCGATGGAAAGACGACCATTCCACATTTGATGAACCGAGTTTGCTTCGGTCACCCATGCAAAAATGCCATTTTTTTTTGTGTGTGTGGATTTCTCGATTTACAGGAGGTCCCAACAAGTACCTGGTACTTGGAAGACTCATTTGTCTTTCCGTTACACATGAAACAGGCGTCCAGGTCGAGCGTTTACGACTTCGTTTCAGTTTGGACCTCGAGGAATAGTTCCGGCTGTGGCCAACACCCGGAACAATAGCCTCCGCAACGACCCACAACCAACTGTCCCTCCTGAAAAAAAACCGACGAGAAATGAGTGAGAACTATACGGACTTGTATGTTGATCATTGAATTATCCAGAGTTTAGGAAATCACAGAAATGGCAGGTTTTAATGAATTATTTATTGTGAAAATCAGCGGGAAATATACGCTGTATATGATCTTTCCAGCAATACATCACGGGGTCGCTAGATAAGGCAAACTTGTACAACCATCGTATGCGTTTTTATTCGGAGTAAACTGCTTATAAAAGTCAAGCTTGCTATAGCCTTTATCCCACAGACTGTTATAGCGAATCTGATAAAGAATAAGTATTTAATTAATCACCCTCCTTGGCTAAAGCTGGAAAAAAACAAATCCCTCAAAAGCGCAACAAGAAGAGCCTTACAAAGACCGATACGTCGTAAAAAACGACGGCATCACGGATGATTTTCTTTCCATCGCGTACCATACTCTTAGCTACATTGCTGCACGTATTCAAATCTCCTTCGACCAGTAAAAAGGCAAACAAGTGAAGTTGGCCCTCAAGGGGCCGGTCAATGCGTGACCGCATGATGTGGCTTCCATGACTGTAGAATAATGGTACTTTATCCTGTATATAGGATTGTTAATCACACAGATGATGAGCCATTTGTGTCCGAAAGATCACTGGTTCAAGCTTCCTCCTAGATCTCCGCGAGATGCGAACTGCTGACGATTTCCAATGAGCGCAGTATAGTACTTCCGGACTTTCCAGCAGGAAATGTTTTCACTTACAAGACGAAATTTCCAGGACATTTTCTGCTCACATTACTACAAGTCAATGGATAGTGAACTGAAAAACATCAAGCTTTAGTTGAATGTACACGTCTTGTAGTAACAGACTTCAGATCTTGTGATTAAATGATTCACTATTACTTCCAGTCAGGCATTTTAGTGGATCCCTGAATGCTAATCTTGTAGTACTTTTACATCAGTAAACTCGCGCTCTAACCAATTGGTCCACCTCGTCTCCTAAAATTCGTAATTTATTTCTCCTAATAGAAATAAATAACAAATTTTAGGTGCTAATCTGAGAGTGTGACTTCTCAGTCTGGCGTGTTGGACCGATTTCCGCAGATTTTTCGGACAAATGGTTTGAAACTGCCTATTTTCAACAACGGCATGCATTCAACGCTCGATTAACTTACTTCTGCTCGCTGTATATGCGAAGCTGAGTGCTCGTTGCTCTTACCCCATTGGGTTTTTACGCTTACGCGAAACTCGGTCCCACGCAAATCGATATGGAACTGGCCCTGGAAAGGAAAGTTTGTATGAGACGATTATGGTCATTAGAAATACAACTTCACTTCTGAAATCTGTATAAAAATGTGCCTAACTTCGATTATCTCCGATACTTGTCTTTACAGATCCGAGCAAAAAATGCCAATCATAGGCTGTCAAGGACCTCAGGACCTGACAGATCGAATCGGAGCATTGAAGGTCCAGTTACTCACTTGGAGCTAGCCTTAGTCCCTATGTATCTGTTGGCATCACTGAAATTTCGGCTTCCACCTTTGTCAATCCAGATGTCTGTATTTCACGTTCAGCCTTCCCATTTTAATAACTTATACTTCTCTAAACTATTACGTCTTAAATGAAAGCGTGTATTAGGCTGCATGATTGGGGGAACTTAGAGTAGTTAGGGCGAGTGTAGACGAGCACACAGTAGGTCCGCCTGAATACACCTCAATGACCGCGATACTACCGAAGATGTGGCAAGGCAAGGTCTTTACTGTAATCAGAATATCGTTCGGGAACAGGTTTTGCTGTAAACCATAGTATGAACAATAAACCGATCGTTATGTGCTGGTGTGTATTTGAACGGTCCAAGTAAGATATGCTGAACAGCTTAGGTGAGACGTGTAGCAATTAAGCTGTTTATCTTGTCATAATCGACAGCACGATATCAGTGTTCAACACCAATGCCTCACTTCCGTACAAACATGATTCATTTGAAAGCCATATTGTAAAGATGAGAATAAAGGTGGACGGGAAAGGGGCTTAGTGCTAGCTTACTACAATCATTCCGAGGTACCTACACCTCCAGACATTCACTCAGCTAATCTGGATAAAAACTGACATCGGTTGGTGTTAATCTTGTGAAGTTACACTGCAAAGCTTTTGATGATAGTTAATAAGGGGACAATGACAAATGGCTGCACTCTAAGTTGAATATGGATACGCATCCGAAAGAGGCCAAAACCGCATTACGAGACCCCACAATAATAACCGGTAAATAATCGTACTTGTGGACACGTCTGGGAACCAAAGCAATCCTTGGCTGTTGCGTACGGTACAAAAGATGGCCCAACCGTATAGGCAAATCTCGTGTCGTCCACTGAACAGGTAGGGTGAAAAACAAATGAAAACAAATGGATTAGTTTAAATAGAGATGAATAATTGATTGCTTATGAGATGTCACGATTACGAACACACGCTTGAAGACTCAGTACTGTAAAACACATTATTCCCCTGCAATCAGCGAGGACCAAGAGTCAGGTCAAACGAAAACGAGGGTTCACCGTTCGCAACTGAACATTTGTCAGGTGGAACACTGTGGATGGCCCCTATAACTTCAAAGGCTCTATTTTAGTTGGTTCGTCATCAGACAGTGGTTATTCAGACTGGTTCGTTGTGGAGAATTCAATACCCACAAGATAGAACACGATGAGCGCCCATTTGCCGCTTAAAGCATATGATCTTCCAAAGTGATTTTGAAGCTTACTCGCTAAATCTGAAACTTTGAAGAGTATTCAAACGCATTGAGGATGCTAATCAAGTGACTTTGCTCTTTAACAGTGCTAGGACGGATGTTAGAGAATCAACTGCCTTTTCCATATGCGCCATTTCGCTTGTGATTTTGGAGTGTAGAATGACCGAGTGTCAAACACACCCAGTTCCGGTAGGACATGGAGAGCCAACAGTCTAGTCGTGACATCTTTTGTTGATATAACCCCCAGATAAACACTGACACGACAGTCAATGGCTCGTGTCAGCTTGGGACCGCGCCACCCAACAGGGTTCTAAAAGAGGCGCTTGCCTCTAGCCGGAGAATGTCGAGCGCATGACGGCAAGTTCACGAAAGCCCCGATGACGGATTGCTCGACACAAACTGATGGATGGATTACCGTCACCCAGTAGTGACCGGGAGTACTTCACCCACGGAAAATGTTCTGGAAAACATTGTTTATCACAGACGCTTCGCAGTCGTTAGCAGTCAACCGAATAAATGGGATTACATGCCGGCCTATAGCTGAGATGGGTTTCACCTCAAAAGAGCATGAGTTTGTGGAAATCATGGCGGAGATTCCCAAGTGTTCTTAGACTATCAGAGAACTGTATGTAGCTGAGAATGGAGACTAATTCATAAGGCAACATAGACTGTGGCTTTGTCTAGATGACGTCTCAATTGAAAATTCGCCAATCCAGCCTCACTACCAATGAGAAATTTATCATACCGAATAGACAGAAATTCGTAATGTATAGCAGCCCACAAAGTCACGAGAAAGTCAGTAACTTCGTTGCTGCTTTTCCAGCCAACTCTTAAGTGCGTGGCGATAAATAGAAGTAAAGTGGCAGAAGCCGAAGAAACACTCAGGTGAGTGGGGCGAGGGTAACACCTGACAGTTTGATGCGGTCTACTGGATTGAATAGACTAAAACAAGCGGGCTGTTTGATCGGTGGAGAATGAGGGAAACGTTGGCGGTACCGCTTTTGGTTGCAAAACACGAATCAAGACTTTACAGGTTTCGCTATTCCCACGACTGAGAAAACTCGGCTGAAAACCTACCACACGTTTCTCCTCGTTTAAGGGTGATCAGGTAAGCACAACTTCTGGATTCAAATCAAGTTTTTTTTTATCTTAGTCATACCTTAAATTGTGCACCTGGTGCATAAGCTACTCATATGCACGATTGATCTTTAGGTAAATCTCTTACTGATGACGCTTCCCACCTGAAATTTCAAAGTCAAAGGATGCCTCAGGATAGAAGTGCGCCAAAGTGTCGAGATAACTTTCTTCCATAGCTTCTACCACTAACAAAATTCATAAGACTCGTCGACATGCTACATCTGATTCTATCTTATTTAGATCCTATGATCATGAAGGAAACTACTCACAAGGTTGCTGATAACTCTTCGGCAGCCCACAACCGGTTTCGCCCTTCTTGGGGCTCATCAGGTAGGCGCAGTCCCCGAGTTTCCATGTTCTACTTGAACCCAAATTGCGCTGTTTTCGAGAAATACGCTCATTTGCAAATCAGTTTGGTCTTCACGACAGACTCAACTGAATCTCTCGTTTATGGTATTCTACAACTGAATGTGCTGCACACAGACCGCCTCATGTTTCAGTTGGTATCAGTTGTTATTTCAGTTGATATTTAATAACTATTCTTGCCACGCATTCGACGGAATAAAACAAAACATACGAGGTATTCAAATGAACCTGTTCTGACTATCACTTTCACATTCACGGACCGTGGAAATTAGTACTTTGCTAGGACATACGTTTTACCAATATGATGGTGGTAAAATGGTGGCCTCAAAAAAGTAAAACCCATTAAATGTTACAGGTGAATTTTACACTTGTTTCTTCCAGGCTTAGGTCCAATTCCAAATTTCGAATCCTGCAGTGTTAATAAAGATACTCTAAAGTCCTTTGGTACATCCCAGAAACTATACACCTTTGAGTTCGCCCTTCTTGGGGCTCATCAGCTAGACACATTCCCCAAACTTTCTGTCAACCTGATGTTTTGATTGAACCCAAATTGCACGAAATCTGACCTATGAACTCATCTGCATACCAGACTGGTTTTGACGGAAGACTCACTTAGGACTCGGAACATTGTAAACAAGTGATTCTGCTGAGTTTCAGGTGAGTCTCCCGACAAAATCAGATTGGTATACAGATGAATTTATAAGTCGCAGTGGTGGTGGTGGAAAAACCCATCGGTTTTGAAGCATATTTCTGTCACTCGCCTTCAGGGACTAATTGATAACGCTACAAGGATTCAGTGATGAAAGCTGAATCTCGGCAGAAGAGTTCTTATCTTTTTGGTTCTTCATTCCGGTCAGGAAACTTCCATGGTAATACTATTAAACATACTGTCATTCCTACTGTTTCCCTTCTCTTGCAAGAGGTTGTAACAAAATATCTTGTGAACTGGAAGACAAATCGGGGGGATAACCTACAAGTCAAAAGCTCAATGAGCCAAATACTCTAATCAGATTGATTCACTTACCTTTTACACTCAGTGTACTGATATCTAGTCGTATCTTTTGATAGTATGTAGTACTGGACAAATGTGACACGAATGGGCACGTTGGGCAGTTTGCAGCGGTCACCTCACGTTGAAGTGTGGTATCACTTTCCGAAAGATTGGCAACATCGGTCAAACTTGGAGTTATCAGTGCGGACTGGTAGATTCGCATTGAATTCAAAGACGTTGGATGAGAGATTGGAGGACACCAATGTGAAGTGGGTGTGCTGGAGCCAAAGAAGAAAGAGAACATTTATTCGAGACCATCGTGAACGCCTCGCAATTGCAGGTAATCTTTAGCGGTTCTGGAATTTGTTACGAGGCCGCTTGATTTCAGACTTCAGACTGTTGCAGACAGGACAAGTGTGGTAGAAAGTAACTATCCGTCACCTAGTTGGGCACGACATTGCACTCCTACAGTATTCTACTGCATGGTTTATGTACGGTTTACATTGTTAGACAGGCTTCGGCTTTTTTGACGCTATTCCGGTCTCGTGAATTCAGTCGCGCTCATTTTACTATTACATCACATCGGATTGTTGATATTTTTCACGATGTGAGTTCAATTATCATATTCCTCAGGCAGTTGGGGTAATGTCTTTGAGGAATATGGCGTGTAATGCTTCCACTGATTCGTGCTTATTTTTTCCTGTTCCCGTGGAGTGGAGATTTAGGAAAGGCAAAAATAAGAAATGCCGTTCAGTCTTTTCGGTGCCCAACTGTCATGCACCCCGAAGGAGGCGTAAGGTCTGACATATTGCCGGGTAACCAAAGAGTCGACAAGAGTAGTCGAGATGCCAGGGTTACGTTTGGACCACAAACCTTCTGGTCAGCAACTCGCTGTGCCAGCTCGATATCTTTAGAGAAAGTACGTTTGCACTGAGAAAGTCTCAAAATTAGTGGGTTATTTGTTTCATGGAGTACCAGATACCAGAAACAAAACACCATTTCCCGTGTGATTATCTGTTTTTTAATCATATTGAATACTCCACGAACAAAAGCCTCATTCTGAAGGATATTCTTGACAAGTCTGATGGAACTGCATGGCAATACAAAGGATATTGGAGACGATGTATCGAGTTCCGAATAGCGGGTACCAAAGGAATCTCAAAAGGGACAAGTTTCATGTTGATCGTCAGTTACTTCAACACATAAGCCCTCATACAGATAGCCTAATTTTATCATTGCTTCAGCTTTTCAGGCTCACCGCTCGGTAGTATTTTTCAGTAGTATTAAGTCAGTCAGAAAAAGAAACAGTTAGGAATGTACTTACGGCTGCAAAAATGCTCCTGTACGCGCGAAGTTCAGGCGCCGAAGGACAATGTATTCTTTCGGATCGCTGGTGTGCATGTCAGCACAATAAATCTGTAATATCAGGTTGTGTATAGAGCTTTGGTATCAGGAAAAGTGAGTTAAAAGAGAAGAGCACGACAGAAGAGTAAAAGAGGTTTTTTCCCGCAACTGAAAGGCGAAATTACTGGAAAGCTCAACGAGGCGGATTTTAACACTGACTTTT